TCCTCCTTTCGTGGTCTGAACCATATGGAGTTAATAATCTCATGTATTATGAATGGGGAGTAACCTTCATGGGTCAATCGTTGTTGCCTATCGTTGTCCCTTAATCGTGGTTGCCTTTTAAGATCCGTGAACGGTTTACAAGTTCCTTAAAATCATGTTGGCGGCTCCCTACTTTCCTTTTCCCTAATCGTTGTCCCTAATAGTATATGTCAATTCCCACTTCCTATGGGTGCCGAGCATATTCATCACATGCTTAACGTAGGCGCACTTCGAACGACGCCTACAATTTGGCGACTCCACTAGGGAAGATTCTTGGTTATTTATTGATTTAAGTAATCGGTATTTAATTAAGATGAGTGGATGAGACTTGAAAGATTCTTGAAAATATTCTTGTGATTAAAATGTCATTTTTACATATGCATAGACGTTTTAACGTCGTATTTTAGGTTTGTCCCGTAGGAAAAATTGGATAACTTGGTCGTGAACGAAGAAAATAGGGGCACCAGACAGATTTCGTGAATGCCGCGCCATGACATAGTTTGCCGTGTAACGTCACAGGGCATCGTGACGCGATGTCCAGCATTGTGACACGGTAAATTGTGTCGTGTTGGGAAGTCCTGAAATCCTTCAAGTGGCTTTAGTTCTCTTCTCACAATCAACTTCCTTTGATTTTTCTGAAAAAATGTGTGTGTTCTACATACAACTTAGCCACGGGGGATTTAAGCTCTATCAACCCAAAAACGTTCATGGCAATAAGGATTCATCTGAGATTTTAAATCCACCCAAACCAGGGAGTCGAGTTCGATTTCATCATGAACACGCGGCGCCGCCCGTTGGCATACACCCTCAAGGGAGGCTGCCTTGCTAACACGTCCAAACTCTTAACCATGGTACCCTTTTGACACCAAATAAAACCTGGCCATAGTGGAACATAGAACTGGACCTTAGGTTGCGAACTATTCTTTGTATCATTGTGCCTACGTGTCCTATGTGTCTATGGTGGATTATATTATGAATAACAATTGCCAATCGACCGTTACTCACTTAGTAATTAGCGAAAACACTAAAATAAAAAAACTAGTAAAATCACATAAAAACTTAGAACTGATTACCGTGCCACGGCAAAAAACGCCGCGTCACGAAAATCAGTATCGTGTCACGGCGTCCTGTACCGCGCCACGGTGCAGGTTTTCCGTGACCCGATTCTTGCGCCGAGATACGGTGTCCAAGTTTAAGTCCAATCAACCCCTATTTTGGTTTTCCGTGCTAATTTAGTCCACGTGTTAGTCATTTTGGTTATTGTTCAGATGTCTAGCCATACAATCATACCACGAGTCTTATAACATCACTTAGTCACTCACAAGTCAAGTATATTCCACACACTTTCTTTATGTTCTGAATTGAGTCGTGCACCATGTCGTTTATGATCGTATACCTAGGTTCATGCACCCTTTTTTTCGTCATAATAAAAAAAATGAGTGGAGTTTTTTTCTCACCTGTTTTCAAATGTCTATTTTTTCTCTTCCTTTCCTATGTTGAGCAATGATTCAAACAATTAAGTGAATTGTTTCACAGTACTTGGTCAAGAAGCAGGAGCAGATTAAAACAGTTCGAGTCATTACCGCAACAATCTCTTAAATTAAATCCAAGAGGCGTTCAAAGAGAACTTCGCCATTTGCACATTACTTATCACCTTTCAATGGATTCTAAGGAGGATATTGAGAACATTAACATGTCCATCGAGAGATTGTCTACCATGATGCAAGGCGCTCACTACTAGAGTCAACACAGTAGAGAAAGACAATCAAAACAATGTCACTGTGGCTGCAATGGAAAAGATCAAAGAGCAAATGAGTAAGATCTTTGAAGAATTCACCTATGTAGAGCAACCTGCCACCTCTTTGTCCATAAGGGACATGGTTCCTGAAAAGTTCTCCACTACTGATATTCCAAAGTTCAAGCCTACTAACAATCCAATATTCCATTTGAAGGCGTTCTCTCGGATCCAACCATGGCTCTAAAGGGATTGGACGTAAAACTCTTCCCTACGGTGTTCCCTCTCTCCTTAGAGCATGCTTTCCAACAATGGTTTTACTCCCTAGATGCAAAGCATACTACGACTTGGCAGGATGTCACCGATAGTTTCATGAATCGTTACAAGTGTAACATTTAAACTAAAACTTCTGAACGTGAACTCTGCATTCTCAAACAGAAAGAGAATGAAGGATTCACCGCTTTTCTGAACAGGTGGAGGGAAACAACTTCATTCTTGGTAGATCCTCCCAAAGAAAGAGAGATGGTACACCTCTTTACTCAAAATATGACTCACAAGTATAGGGAACATCTCAAATTTCTTCCACTGAACACTTTCGAAGCTGTATACGACATCGGCATCAATATTGAGGATGAGCTAATAAAGCCTGCTAGTAGTAACAATAATAACACTTGGAAAAACATGAAGAACGACCATCCTTCTTCTGCGTCTTCTAAGCACAAAAATACTACCAACAATATAAGCCAAGTTGATCTCAATGAAGTGTTAGCTCTTGATGCTCCATTGCCCAAGAAAAGGAGAGCTTACACTCCTTTAGGAATGACTTATGACGCGGCCTTTGATTGCCTTTACGGTCAAGGCTTGATCACACCTATTGGGCCATTTCCAGAGCCAAAACCTGAAGAAAGGAGCGCCAAATGGAATCCCAATGCCCATTGCAAGTACCATCAAGGAAGGGGCCACACTATCAAGTAATGTTGGAATTTGAAGGACGTCATTCAAGACTTGGTGGATGCAAACAAAATTTCTGTCTCTCCAGGCGGCAAGAAGTAATGAATACAAGGCGCAAAACATACCCTTCGTGCAAGATTTCATGATTTCTTTTTTTCTTTTTTTATCATTCATCTCCACTCCCCCGTTCATGACTAGCATAGGTTTTCCGTTTCGAATTTTCTGTTTCATGTGTTTGTTCAACTTTTCCATTAATAAAATGAGCATATTTCCCTTACATCTCGATCATAGCATTTTTCATTCAATCATTCAAAAATAATAAAAAAAGAAAAAAGAAAAAAAATCAATTGCCGAACCGAACACAAGGTATAACAATGATTTGAGGTACCTTTGCAACCCATTCATTCCCCATTAACCACTCAATCACATATCCATTTCTTCATCAACCACTTTGTGCCTCGTCTAACGATTGGCCTTGTTTATTCAACCCACATTCACTTAACCCTAATATGGGAAGCTGTGCAATTTGTGCAACATTCATAAAGCAAGTTCAGAAAAAAAATGTCTAAATGCAAGTGTTCCAATGTCTTCGATATGAACACCACTACAAGAAAATTGTTTATTGGCAACAAGTTTTTGCAACAAGAAAAGCTTAAAACCAGCTTCCGCTACGTAAAATTTAAGTCCGTGGCTACAGATTGTTGCAGAAAAAAAAATTTCATTTCCCCTCCAAAATTTTTGTGTGGCGGGATTTGGCGAAAAAGTAGTAGTTTTTGGCCACGAGACTGGTGTTGTGAAAAAATAAATAAGTTATCACAACAAGTTTGATTGTTGTGTTATATAAAATTAACAATGACTACAAAAGAAGTCGTTGTATAAGATATTATTATTTTATTTAAAAAAAAATTAACTCTCTTCACGCACTCCAAAGTTCCTCACTTAGCTTTGACACTTTCTATTACTTGGTACCCAGCTACCCTCCAACTAAAGAACTCCAGAACACTCTCAAAACAAAACTACTTCCCTACTACTTATCTAAAATCCCCATTTAACAACTCCAGTAAATTAATGGTTTTAATGGTGATATAGGGTTTGGGAAGCGCGCGTCGGCATTCATTGGTCGGAGAAGTGGTGATTTGCTTAATTATTGAATGTTCTCAGCAATATTTTTCAACCAGTGAGTTTAAATTCTTGCAATTTTTATTATTGAACCTTGAAGGTACTTTAAATTACATATATATTTTGCTTTCACGAGATAATTTTTTGATTTCGTGTTAAAATTTTGTATCTAGGGTTTTTTTGCTATGATTTTTGGTAGATCTACTTGGCTACTTGCATGTCGAATGGTTTTATTTCATTTAAATGTAATTGTGTTTGTGCTCTGTATTTCAATTTTTTCTGGGTTAAAAAAATTCATTATTGATATATGTTTAATTTGTTTCCCACTTTTATTACCCCTAATAAGGGGCAAAAATCTAAAATCAGATTTTTGCTTCTTACTTTTTAATTATTATGATTAATTTAATTTGTTACTATATTTTTAGTCTGGGTTTAAAAAGAATCAGGGAGTTTTTACCCTTGACTAGCATATTTTGAGGAATTCATACATAATTAGATGCATTTTGGTGTTATGAGTGGATAGAAGTGAATTTAGATCAGTAATATTAATATTGGATGGAAGTATAATGCTTGTCAAGTCCTTAGTTGTTGCAGAATGCGTTTTGTTAACAATCTAGATGGCTAAACTAGTAGACTATTGGAAGGTGGGGATTGGAGTAAATGTTTATTGTATTTGTATTGCTTTTTGATGGATTAATGCATAAGGATATATGCTAAACTTACAAGAGTTGTAACCTGCAAGTGCATTTCCTAGATTGTCATGGTTTTTATTCTGCCTTTTGTTGTCGACACCTTAAAATTTCTTCTATCTTTTGTTGTTTACATCCTAATGTTTCTTATTTCTATTGTCTTGTTGACTAATGAAGTATGTATGTATGGTTTTTTGGCTTCTTATCTAAATTTGGTCATCAAGTTGTGCTCAGATGATGTTTAATTTATACTAGTTTATACATAAAGATATTGTGTACCATTTCACAAAATAATACATTATATATTAAGAATGACTTTTAAAAGAAAATGGGGCACATTTTAAGGGATAGAGGGAGCGTGTGTTAGCTCTTAGCCTATAATCACAAGATAACCCGCTAGTAAGAAACATACTAAATTGAGTATAGTGAGAGGGAAGGGGGTGGGGAGGGGCTCTTTTGAATTTGACATATAAATTGATTTTTAAAAAGAGAAAATTGTAAAAAAGGACCTTTTAAGTGGTCGACTTTTTGAAAAAGGACCTTTTAAGTGAAAACTTGTGAAAAATGACCTTTTAAATTGTATTTTGTTTATATGGGGTGAGCTTGCATGGTGGTCAGAGTTTCGGGGTTGACTATCACGTATTAGTCACATAATTAAAAAAATTTCCCTAAATTTCCCTCATTTCTCGACCTAACCCTTTCATATAGTATTCTCCCGGAGGTCGGGAAAGGGAAAAAATTTGGGGAATTTTTTATTTTTTTTAAAAAAAAAGTCACGTGACTAACATGTGATAGTCAATACCGGAGCTCCGGCGTTGACCAGCTTTCAAGCTCACCCAAGTACCCATACAAACAAAATACAACTTAAAAGGTCCTTTTTCAAAAGTTTTCACTTTAAAGGTTCTTTTTCAAAAAGTTGACCATTTAAAAGGTCTTTTTTCACAATTTTCTCTTTTAAATATCAATTAAGTGAGAATATAAAAAATCTAATGTTTGGAAAAAATAAAATAAAACTACTTGTTTATACTTAGCATATTAATGTATTGTTCTTTGCATACTAAAAAGAATATTCAAATGCCCTTTTTTAGGTCAGTATTTTTTTTTTTTTTTTTGAGTGTATCAAAGTTAGTAATTTTTTACATGGTTTAACCAACATGTGTTAGGTGGTAAATTGAAATTAGGAGATGACACTGGATAAAGAATGGATGAAACTAACTGACCGTGGTTCAACTGGATATCTGAAAGGAATAGATGGCTTTCTAGACTTTGCATTTACTAATACTAATGCTAATGAGCGTTGCAGAAATGGCACTGCAATTAAATGTCCATGTTGCAGATGCGCTAACGTGCATTTCAAAACTAGAACTGAAGTTTGAGTTGATTTGCTAAAAAATGGCTTTTTGCCATGCTACACTGTATGGGATAAACATGGTGAAAGACATGGTGACATGATCCTTGAAAGTGAGAATACTTTTAATGATGATGATGATATGCTCGACATGTTACAAGTAGGATGTGGGGTGGCTGGAATGGGATTGCTTAAGGATAGTAATATTGACGAAGCTCAAGAACCCTCTAAAGAAGCAGCTAAATTCTACCGCTTATTAGAGGACTATAAAGAGCCTTTGGTTGTAGATGGGAAAAAAGTGTCAAAGTTAGTTTACATAATGAAATTGTTACATCTTAAGTGCTTGAACCATTGGACAGATACCTCTTTTACTCAATTATTGAAATTTCAAAATGAAACATTAGGTTTTGACCTGCCTAATTTATATGATGCATGTCGCAAAATTGTTAGTGAACTAGGCCTAGATTATGTCAAAATTGATGCATGTCCAAATGATTGCATAATCTATTGGCGTGAAAATAGTGGGGCTCAAGAGTGTCCAAAATGTAAAACTTCTAGGTGGAAGGCGAAGGGTAAAAATGTACCAAATAAGGTGTTACGTTATTTCCCAGTTAAACCTAGACTGCAAAGGTTATTTATGTCATCAAAGACTGCAAAAGAAATGCGTTGGCACAAAGAGGAAAGAACTAATGATGATACTATGAGACATCCAGCAGATTCTCCAGCATGGAAGTCATTTGATGAGGAACACAAGTCATTTGCAGCTGACCCTAGAAGTGTTAGGCTTGGTTTAGCTGCTGATGGTTTCCAACCTTTTAACAATTTTGGAGGAACCTCTCATAGTATTTGGCCAGTTGTTCTGGTTCCTTATAATTTGCCTCCGTGGATGTGCATGAAGCCTCAGTATATGATGTTATCGTTACTTATTGATGGCCCTCATTCTCCAGGAATGGATTTGGATGTCTACCTTCAACCTTTGATTAAAGAGTTGAAAGAGTTATGGGAGGTTGGGGCTGAAACTTTTGATGCATATTCTAAACAAAATTTTGTGATGCATGCAAGTCTATTGTGGACAATCGGTGATTTCCCGGTGGTGTACAAAAGGTTTCTTTGCTTGTCCTTCTTGTCATAACAAACCCTCATCATGTTCTATAAAAAGCAGGACTGCTTATGTAAGGAATAGACGTTTGTTGCCATTGAATCACAAATGGAGAAAGTTGCGAAATGCCTTCGATAAAACAGTTGAAAAAGAAATAGCCCCCCTCCCACTATCTGGCGATGATGTAGTAAGGCAATGCGACCAATTTTCTCAAGTTCCATTTGGCAAGGTCGGTTCAAAAAGGAAATGGGATGAGACAAATAGCTTGTATGGATGGAGAAAGAAGAGCATTTTTTTTCAATTGCCATATTGGAGCAAATTGAAATTATGTCATAACTTGGACATTATGCATATTGAAAAGAATATTTCTGAAAACATCATTGGAACACTGATGAATATAAAGGAGATTGGATTTGGTTAAAATTGGTATAAGGCAAGAACTTCATCCCATTGTTGATGAAGATAAGGTGCGCATACCTGTGGCATGTTATACACTGAGAGGTCATGAAAAATCTGCATTTTGTGAGATGTTTCAAAACTTGAGGACTCCTGATGGATATTGTTCAAACATCTCTCGGTGTGTGAAAGACAATGGAAACAAAATTTCATGCATGAAAAGTCACGATCATCATGTTTTTTTGGAGCAATTACTTCCAATAGCTGTTCGCGGACTCCTTCCAAAACACGTTTGTGAGCCATTAATTGAACTAAGCTTGTTCTTTAAGAACTTGTGCTCAAAAAATTTGACAATGAAGGAACTTGATAAGCTTGAAAACAAAATTCCCTACACCATGTGCAAATTGGAAATGATTTTTCCACCTTCTTTCTTTTCTGTTATGCTACACTTAGTTGTTCATTTGGTGGTGGCAGAAGCTAAGATTGGTGGTCCAGTGAGATATCGATGGATGTATCCAATAGAGAGGTATGTGTATAACGCAATTTTTGATTTTTTTTTTCATAATAATATATTTTTTTTTTCTGTTACATATTTTATTTTCATATATCAGGTACCTGCGTACATTAAAATCTTATGTTCGCAATAAAGCACGGCCAGAAGGTTCGATTGCAAGAGGTTACTTGGCTGATGAATGTTTAACATTTTGCTCTAGATACATGGATGACATGACCACAAAATTTAGTCGCCACTCTCGAAATGAAGATAAGGATGGCAATAGTCAGGAGACTAGTAAAAGGGATCTGGACTTATTTATCCCACGTGGTCGTCCTTTAGGAAAGTCAACGCCTCATCATCTTACTGTAGAGGAGTTTGAACAAGTCCACTTTCATACCCTTAATAATTGTGATGACCTCATGGAACTTGCTAAGTAAGTAAGTAAATAATAAAATAGTTTTTGTAAGAAATTTAACATTTTTCATCTAGATATTTTAAGGGTTGGTTTTTTTTTTCCCTAACTTCAGGCAGCATAGAGAGTTACTTGCTGCTGAAAATCCAACTCCTAGAAGTATCGAGAAAAGACATAAAGCTCAATTTTCTGAATGGGTTCGCAATCATGTAAGTTATCTGTCTATTTTACATATACATATTAGCAATATTATGGTTCATCAATAATATTATAATGATTTCATTTTATTTATAAGTGGAGCATATGTATAAGGAAGGATTGGTTGATGAAGAATTATATTACTTAGTTTGTGGTCCTTTACGCACTGTAAGGCGTTATAGTGCCTACATTGTGAACGGGTTTAGGTTCCACACTCTTGATCGCCAAGAAAATAGAAAAACCCAAAATAGTGGGGTTATGGTTCACGGAGATTATCTAATGGATAAGGAGTATTATGGTGTTCTAAGAGACATTTACGAGCTTCAATATCCCGGTGGAAATCATGTGTTCGTTTTTAAGTGTGATTGATATGATGTTCAACATAAGGGTAGAGGGTATAAAGTGGATGAATTTGATATAACAAGTGTCTGTAGTGACTTATCTTTATCAACTCAAGAACCCTTTGTATTAGAATCACAAGTGGAACAGGTGTTTTATGTTCCAGAACCTAGGGAAAATAAGTGGCTAGCTGTTATAAAGACAGAGCCTCGAGATTTGTACAACATTCCTAAAATAGAGACCGATGAAGCTGCACTTGGTCAAGTTATTTATGAAGAAGCTGTGCAGCAAGAGGAGATTAGGACTTCAAATGTCCAAACTTCATATGGAAATGGAAAGAATCAGTATTTGGCTACTAAACATTTTACAGTGGAAAGTGATCCTCGAGTCGTAAAATGGGTAACCAAAGAAATGGAGAGGATTAAGCAACAAAAGCATGGGAAACAAACGAAAAAAAAAAGAAAAATAATGATATGGATGGTTTCATTGTTGATGACGATGTTGAAGTTTAAACATCTATCTTTATGCCACTTCTGTTATCTTAGATAGTTATTTAGTTTCCTGTGTTAGGTTGCAAAATTTATCATCAATCAACTTTTATATCTAACTTGAACTGTTATTTTCAAAAGCTAATTTATGAAACTAGTTTTTTTTTTCCATTATATTTTTCATATGATAATAATTATTATGTTTAATCATTTTCCAACTATAAAATCCTGGTAAGTATTCTTCGTATTTTATTTAATACCCCTTATGATTATGTTATATGGTTATATGATTTAATAGTTGCGTATAGAAAATATAGTGTTCTAAAGCTCTTAAATATATGTTTTAAAATATTGCAGATATGGCAGGAAGAGGACAAGTTAAGCTACGAAAATTTGGAAGCATTGGAAATAGAAAAACTGTAAACTTTGCTGAAGAGTCCCAACGACGCCTTCAAGATGTATTTGGAGATGATTTTGTTATGGATGACATTGGATCTAATACAAATAGTCCTACTAATGAAGAAAATCCAAATGAAGAAAATCCAGGTGGAGATCAAGGTTTTTCAAACATAGGTAATGATGAAATACAAACCACTTTCAGTTTTTTGAACTTCACAACAAGTTTATTCATCTAATGAATTTATCTCATTAAATTTAATTTGTTAGGGGGAACAAAGCGTGAATATGCTAGCAATTTTATGAGGAGACTTGATGTTATGTTAACTACATACCAGGCAGCGGATCCTACTCCTCATGAAGATAATGGTAATTGACCTAAAAAGTTGAGAACTAAGTACATGCATGAAAGACACGTGTTGGATGAAGCCCAACGTAATGATCCTAATAGCAGCCAAGGTAACAATGATACTATGATTTTTCTAAATTGCTTGTTTATGCAGCTTTGTAGCTTACTGTATTTTATTGTGTTTGGAGGCATTATTGTAGCCTCTGCTACAAGTGTTATTAAAAAAAGAGGTCAGAGAGGCAAGTACAGAAGTTTAGCTATTGAAAAGAAAACCAAGGGCGGTCAATTTAAGTTGGATATTGAAATACCCCCGTATGTTCTGCAAGCTGTTGGAGAAAATGCCCGCTTGTAGACACCCATTTGTGTCTCCCCAAAACCAAACCCAGTGATGAGTGCCTTTCACGTTGAATCATAATCGAATGAAACGAAAGTGTGGAAAGGTCTAGTGTTGCAGAAAGTTTTATTTCATTTCTTTTCTTTTCTCTTCTCTCTGTTTTTGAAAACTTTATTTTAAGAAAACAGTCAATCCAGTTTGGTTGGTCCATGATATGGGTCCAATAGTAGTATAGTTGGATGGGGTTTGCAAAGACCTTTCCAACGATATATTATAAGCCCAATTCCGATGAATATTGAGGAAGTTATGGCCAATTTACTAAACTGGGTCCGGTTTGAGTTTTAAATACGGCCCAATGATTTAGGGGAGGGCCTAATATGATTTATCATTCCTAATGTAATTAGGAATGGTTTTGGTCTTCAAGAAGATTCTAGAAGGTCTTATCATTCTTAATTCAATTAGGATTCTTTAGAGTTTTAATTAGATCAAATAACATTTTCGACTGAAATTATATTATTTTATCTTCCAGTACGGTAAAATTATCAGATTTTCGAAAACGTGTTAAAAGCCGGTTTGGCGTCCAACCCCAGGCCTTGGCGCCTGGAACCAGGATTGGCGCCAGACGCCAGCCATTGGCGCCTGGCGCTAGCCACTGGCGCCAATGAGCCAGGGCTGGCGCCAATTTGGTTTCTGTGATCTTCAGGCTCTGTTTTGATAAATTATCTTTTTTGGCCGATTTTCTTTATAAATATCGTATCAGAAAACTCCGTTTGGATTCATCAACAATCTACAATCAACAATCTACCATCATCAACATTCACCAATTCTCCTTATTCTTTATCATTCATCTAATTCATCCAATTCTCTTTATTCATCATCTTTCTTTCATCAATTCTCATTAATATTTTTTAGCATTCTTTCTTTCTTGCTTTTTCATACAAAATTCCGCATTCACAAGATCTTGATACACCTAGCCATATTCGAAGCTGCCTTCGCCCTAGACGTGAAAGGTTTTAATTTCTGAGGGTTTGGTCCCAAATCTATCTTTCAATTATTTAATTTAATTGCTTTGTTTATTATTTTCCTTGAAGTTACTAACGTGTGTATTTTGTTATTAGAAAGAGATACGAGGCATCCAAATAAGTACTTTATTGATTAATTGATTTTATGATGTAGAAATCATGTTTAGATTGTTATGATATTCCTAGTATCATGTCTAGGGTGTTTTTAATATCAAGCGTGATTTAAAAGTATGATGCTTCCTATGTTCTTTCTAACATTTATGATTATGATTGATGATGATTATTTATTATGTTGCTTGATATGCATATTATTATATATTATTGTTGCTTGATCACCTTTTATTGCAGGTTAAAGGGAATTGGTATTTGCAATCACGCTTAATAAGATAATTAATAATCTTGTTAGGTTAACTTTGATTATAATTCAAGTGATCGCCAATAATAGTTTATTTGTGCATTTAATTCAACCAACACAGATTAAACAGGTTTAGGGTTAATCCTATTGATTGTATGTTAGTCAGAAAGCGCACATGAATACGAGCAGAATAAAGTAGAGACATATTATTAGGGCAGGTTCAATCTCTTTTAGGTTGGATTTGTACCTTCATCCCCGAACCCTTATTTGGTTCATGACCTTATGGAGTTGACGATCTCTTGGATCGTTAAGGGGTGTAACCTTCACCTCGTGAACGGTTTACAAGTTCCTTAAAAACTTGTTGTCGACTCTTTTGCTCTATCTTCTTCCCTTTTGGACGCCACCGTACTTTAGTGTATGATCACAGTGGGGTTCAAGCTAGTGGGATTTTAAAGGCTTGAAACTATTCCCTACAGTTTTTGGCGACTCCACTAGGGAGGATTTCTATTTTAATTCCTGAATTTGTTTCGGCAATGATTTAGAATGAATGGATGAGACTCGAAAAGTTCTAAGTATTTCATGTGCGTAATTTTGATTAACATTATTGTCATATGCATAAAAAGGTTCTCATTGGAAAGACCATCCGTAATGAGTCAAAAACATAGGATTTTACACGTAGGAAATTTGAGAAACGTCTTTCACAACTAGGACTGAAATAACACCGCGCGAAACTGGATGATTTTATTGAGCACAGAAAGCTGCTGAGGCATGTGGGAAGTAGCGTCAGGGGCCAGAGCTTGGCGCCATACTTTTAGCTGTAGCGCCAGATGCCAGTATTGGCGCCAGGCGCTACAGTTAAAAGTTGGCGCCAGTCTATTTGCTGGCGCCAATTTCCCCCAATACCGAGCCAGAAATATGTGTTCTAATTTCGACCGGTTTTTCGTATTGTTTGCTCGATCCTACTTCCTGATTGAATTTTTTCTCATTTTTCTGAAACCCACATGTGTTCAACATATGGACATAACCCTCTGGGAATTCATGCTCTATCTACCCGACTGAACGCTCCTGACAACAAAGGGTACATCTGAGATGTTGAATTCACCAAACCATGGAAGTGAGTTTTTTCTTAAAAACTCGCGGTGTTCTATCCACACGCGTTAACCCTTCACGGTTAGGCTTCTACGCGGTGCATCTGAACAATTAACCATGGACCCTATTTGACTAAACCATATCCCGAACTCTAGAGAACTAGCGCCATGGTTAGCTTGCGAACTCATTGCATCATATTGTGCCTACTTGACTAATTGTGCATTATTTGTTGTGCATATATATATTATATGCTCCTCCTAACCGTTTGTTGATTTGTGTTGAGATTATAATTAATGACTTAAAGAACTTTGCCTAATTAATTAATTAACTAATTAATTCGAGTTAATAAAATTTTTTCTTCTTTTAATCGGAATCGACCTAGTACGACTTTAGGCATACCCAATTTGACTAATAATATCGAAAACAGTCCCAGACCGAGGCTCCAATGTTGGTGCCAAAATTTGGGCTGTAGCGCCACTGTATGGTGTGTAGCGCCAGACATTTATTAAAAAGTCTGGCGCCAACCACCATATTGTGACGCCAGTCCTGTCGCTTGGCCGACAGTTCGGATTATTTGTCGAGTCATCACCTAATGTCTAATTATTCAGTTTCCTGTTTAATTCGGTTAATTCTGCTTAATTGAATCAATATTCGAGTTTAGGCACTAAGTCCCATGGCCTTACACAAGAGTCCAAACATGTCACTTACACTCAATACACACACTATTACACATGTCTTGGCCATGATTAAGGGAGTCTTGTGTGCGCGCGTTTATTTTTTCGTCATTTTTTTAGGGGGGTAAGTCGGATATTAATCCTCCAATAAATAATAGTACTTAAGTTCCCTAAACACATGTACTTTATTGCTCCCTAAAAATATGCATACTTTTTTTTCTTTTATTTAAACAAAAGCCATAAAGTCAAACTGATTCGAGTCAAGTAATTAAACCGCAAACTGGCTTAATCTACAGCGCGTGGTCCAGAAAGGAAGGACGATTAATCAAATATAACCTCTTCGTACAAGTCCAACTTTTCGACAAACCTATAGCCCGCAAGAGGAAAGCAAGAGTTATAATGGCAACTCAGGAAGAAGTTAACGATCTCAAGAACCAATTGGCTACTGTAACTGAGACACAAAAGCTTCTCGCACTTAAGATCGAGGATCCCGCGAAGCAACAACAGATGGACCTCATGCAAGAAAGCCTAAGCAAGTTGTCCAGCGACTACAAGTTTCAAGAATTCACATCCCAAGGGGTTTCGTTGGATAAGGATCTTCTTCCACAGAAGTTCAGTGCCAACGACATCCCAAAGTTTAGGGCAATCGACAACCCTTACTTCCATCTAAGGGCATTTGAAACAATAATGAGTATTAAGGGTATTGATAAGAAAATTTTCCCTTCTCTGTTCTCGCTATCTCTCGAGACCGTTTGCCAACAATGGTTCTTTTCTCTTGAAAAAAAAAGACCTCTACCTGGGAATCCATAGCAAACGCTTTCGTTGATAGGTACAAGTGCAACGTTCAAGTCGAAACTGACCATAGAGAACTTGAAATTCTCAAGCAGAAGGAGAATGAAGGCTTCACATCTTTCTTTAACAAATGGAGAGAAACCTCAGCTAAAATGATTGAGGTACCAAATGAAAAAGAGTCCGTGAGATTGTTCATTAAAAATCTCCAAGAAAAATATTCAAAACATCTTAAATATCAAAATAACCTTCATACCTTTAAGGTTGTTTATGATATTGGGATTAATATTGAAGATGACTTAGCTAAATCTAAAGCTGCCAACAATAACTCCAACAGTGGCTGGAAAGGAAAGAAGAACGACAATCCTTCTTCTTCCAAAACCGCCCACTCAAATAATGTTAGCACCTTTAATCTAGGAGAAGTCCTTGCCATGAACAACCAAGGACAAAAGAAACTGTTTAGGAGAAACTTCACTCCTATTGGCATGAGTTATGACACCGCATTTGATCGGCTAAATGCAAAAGGTCTTATAACTCCCATTGGACCATTTGGAGATCCACCAGTCGAGAAAAGGTCGCCTAATTGGAACCCCAATGCACATTGCAAGTATCATCAAGGTAGAGGCCATTCTACTAAAAGCTGTTGGAAACTTAAGGAAGCTATCCAAGATCTGATTGACAGTAATAAGCTGCCGTTGCCTCCTGCCAGTAAGAAACCGAGTATTGATAATGCACCTCTAGCTCACACATTGGTTATCTCCGATGAATAAAGCGAAGTCGACCCCTCATCTCTCATCTAGCTCACACATTGGTTATCTCTCATGAATAAAGTGACCGAAGAAGAAGAAGAAGAGATCTTTTTCGATGTCGAGGATAATCCTCCAGAACTAGCAAATGAGGTAGAGATACGAATACTCACACTATATCTGAGGGAGACATCACAACTGTTACATGAAACTCTCAAAATTCTGAATGAACTTCGCAAGGAATATGATCAAGAACCTAAGAAAGAATTCACACCAGTAAAAACGACTTATGAGGCAAAATACTTTCCCTTACAAGTCACCGAAAGACCCAAGAAGAGCAATAAAATTTATACTCCAATTGGGATCCCGTATGCACAAATGTTCAAAATGCTCTCCGAGAGTGGC